AGGAGACTGTGGATAGGGGAGTGAGCAGAGTCCATGGGCTTCCAAGTCTGATCTGGAAACTCAGACTCGGACTTCTTCCAGCAGGGGGCTGGGGGCTGGGGGCTGTGGACAGGAGCCCGGCCAGCAGGTGGCGGTGCAGGCCAGGCAGCTGGCAGCTGCTGTGCAGGTGTGGCAGCCACTGGACCCTGAACCTTCCTCTCTCACATTCAGGGACTCTGCGGATACTGGGCGCAGTGGCTCACGCCTGTAATCCTAGCACTCTGGGAGGCCGAGGCAGGTGGATTGCTCGAGGTCAGGAGTTCAAAACCAGCCTGAGCGAGACCCCGTCTCTACTATAAATAGAAAGAAATTAATTGGCCAACTAATATATACAGAAAAAATTAGCCGGCATGGTGGTGCATGCCTGTAGTCCTAGCTACTTGGGAGGCTGAGGCAGCAGGATTGCTTGAGCCCAGGAGTTTGAGGTTGCTGTGAGCTAGGCTGATGCCAGGGCACTCACTCTAGCCTGGGCAACAGAGCGAGACTCTTGTCTCAAAAAAAAAAAAAAAAGGGACTCTGCGGATGCTCAAGGTGGGGCTTTGGCCTTCCTGGTGTTTACTTTTGCTATTCTCTGGGCTTAGGGTTGCCAGATAAAATACACGATACTCAGTGGAATTTGAATTTCAGATAAACAATAATACTAAAAAACTATAAATATGTTCCAAATATGGCATGGCCCAAATGCCTATATTACTAAAATTTTTTGTTGTTGTTTATTCGAGATGCACATTTAACTGGATGTCTTGCATTTTTATTTGTTAAATCTGGCAACCTTATCTGTGTCAATGGTGAGTTTTTAAGTGGAGAAAGTTGTATTCCTTTATTGCACAAATATTTATTGATTGTGATGTGGCAGACACAAGTCTAGGGGCTGGGGGACCTATCCACAAAAAGATCAACAAGGTCTCTGCCCTCATGGAGCTTATATCATGGTGTGTGTGTGTGTGTGTGTGTTGCAATGGGAGAGACAAACAATAAACCTGTATAAATTTGATGATTTCAGATGGTGATTGTGAGAAAATAAGAACAGAGATGTCATTGAAGGTGGTTATGGGTGGGTGGGTGACTAATCTAGTAGGAGTGGCCAGGGAAAGCTCTTTGAGATGAGATTTGTGAAAAACTGGGCCCAGAGTTTCAGGCAGCTAGAACAGGGAGGCCCGCAGGGACCAGCAGGAAAGGCACAGCAGCTGGAGGGGAGGGAATGAGGAGCAGATGTGGGGAGAGGCTGGGGAGGGAGCAGGGGCCAGATCACTTGCAGGGTGTTACCGGCCCAGGGTGGAGGTCCAGCTGGCATAATGTGATTTATGTTATATGAAGACTTGGAGAATGGATTGCCCAGGGACAGAAGCAGAAGCAAGGGGATGAGTTAGGGGGCTACTGCAATGGTCCCAGTAAGAGGTGATGGTGTTTGCAGAAGGTGGTGGCAGTGGAGATGGGAGAAGTAGCGGATGGACTAGGGGTATATTTTCATGGTAGAACTGACAGGTCTTGCTCATGAATAAGATATAGGGGAAAAGGTAAATGATAGAACTCCTAGAAACGCTCCTGAGTTTGGGGGAGTCAGTGAGTCAGTGTTCTGCTTTTTGCAGCAGTGCTTCCCAACTGTTGTCATGTCATGGCTTATGTGCAAAACCATATTTATATGGCTTATGGCTGGCAGGGGCTGGCTCAGAGGCTCCAGACACCCAGGGCACCCATGGCTGCTCTGAGCACTATCTCAGCAGGCTTGTAACCCACTCAAGGCAGTTCACCCACTGGGAAGCTCTGCTTTGGGGGAGAATTTTCCGGCTGGAGCCAATGTGTGTTGCAAAGGGCCTGGTGAGAGGTGGCAAGTCATGCTGTTGAAGTGCAAGAAGCACTTTCAGGATCAGGGCACTCCCTCAAGCATTTGAAATAAAACATTTTTGAGAATGCAAGTCTAGGACAGATTTTAGAACCGATCTCATCCAATCACCTTTCCTCCCTCTTTACACAGAGGAGTAAGAGACTTGTCCCAGGTGCTCATTCATTTACTCCCTTTATTGAGTACAACAAAGTGCATGTAGCTGTGCTGGGTGCTGTGAGCCAGTGCTACTTAAAGGGACGCGTGCTTTCTGGACTGGTACCCCAGTCTGCAACCAGATGACACAGAAATGGAGAGTAAACTACTTTTATGGCAATTGCATATCCAAGAATGCCACTGGGCTTGTGGTTCCTCCCTCCCTCCCTCCCTCCCTCCCCCCCTCCTTCCTTCCTTCCTTTCTTTCCTCTTGCCCCTTTCCTTTCCTTCATCTTTTTTTTCTTAATAATGTAATTACTTTTCATTGTCAAAAGTATTAATTCAAGACGGATCGAGGCCCCAGATCACAATAACAACAGCAGCTTCCTATGCTGGAGTCATCTGCCTGAGGAGTCACAGCCAGTTCAGTCACCTGACTGCCAGGGGGGCTGTCTCCCCTCACCTCCCTCCCATCTCCTCCTGCCAGAAGCTCTAAGAAGGTCTCAGCGACTGGAACCCTGTTTTTGTTATATACCTTTTGCCCTGATAGGAAGAGAAGAATTCTTTTTTTTTTTCTTCATTCAATTTTTTTTATTTTAACAAAATCATGTTTTTTTCCTTTCTTTCTTTCTTTCTTTCTTTTTTTTTTTTATGGAAGAGAAGAATTCTTATTGCAGGCTTTAGCCTTTTGTTTTTCTGTAAGTCGATTCATTAGTTTACATTCCTCCTGTTCTATCACCCCATTTCCCTTTCTCTGACGTTCGAAGGCTTGGCCTCTTTCCCTCTCACTCCTGGCTTTTCAGCTATTTTCTGCCTTTGGTTTGGTTTCTGTGTCCTCCTGCCCCTGCGCCGGGGATGTGCTGGGCCCAGTGCCTGGGGAGTGGGGAATTCACTGTATTCTCATCACTCCACGGACAAGGGCATGCCGTGTAACCAAGTGACTTCAAGCCAGATAGCAGCCAGTGGCAGGGAGGTGACACTGTGCTGTACTTACAACAGTAGCTTCTCAAATCCAGATTTACTCCGGGACCGAATAAGGCCAGACTACTCCTTTCGGTTTGTCCTTTACAAGGGTGCCACCAGATCTGAAGGCGCACCTTTTACTCAAGGTCGGTTTTCTGTGACGCACAGTCAGACCCAGAAAACCTTCCACCTGGCGATCTCCCCGGTGAGGAATGAAGACAGTGCCACTTGCTACTGCTTCTCTGCCTCAGTGACACCAGTGCCCAGGAAGTCTGTACACAACCCTCCTGGGGAACAGCTCAGGGGAGCTACCTCTCAGGGCAGGTCAAGTCCTAGAGCTGGCATCCTTCTCCTAGCCATCTCGTGTTCCAGCCTGGCCTTTAGAGGTGTGCTGAAGTCTCTGCTGAATAATGAAAGGCCCGGTCATATCTAGCGGAGCACCCTCGCTTCAGAGGAGCAGAGCACCTCCCCACTTCTGACTCAGTGGGCCCGTGCCACCTGCGTGACTCGTGGTAGGCAAGGGAGTGCCGCATGTGTGAGGGGTACTGTCTTTGTGTCCCCCTGGCCAGGTCACACCTGATACTGGCTGGGGCTTGTGCTGCATTTGCTGTGAGGGTCTCAGATGGTGCAAGTAAGGGTCCATCTAAGAGGAGCCATCTGCAGTGTCTTTATTTTAGTCTCCATCATCATTGATTCATTATTGTGAATCGATCTGTTTTCATTTTAAGAATCAGTTTGAACATAAAGTTATTTACTTAAAAAATTTCCCCCAGTTTCTCTTTTCTTTTGCATCTTCTTATATCCAGCCATCTTATTTCTCCCCAATGCTCTCTGACGCCCGCATTTACTTTAATTAGAGAACATTTTTCTTTCACTGAAGAGCACTGAGGTATCCTAGAACATCGTCTGTGAATCCCAGGACCCCAGCTTCCAAATCCCCGAGTTTGGAGCTCAGAGGTGTCTCCAGCAGAGAAAATTCCCTCTGAGGTAAATCAAGGATGTGGTGTTGCCATAGATACACCCTCAGCCCCTGGGCCTCAGCCCCTCCTTCCTCTACTTCTGTTGAATTCTCTGCCCTAACAGAACTTTAGAGTTGTTAGATGCAATCTTAGAAAGGGAAGAGGCCTTCCACATTATTTTATAGGAAATATGCTAAAGCCCAGAGAAGTGGGGGCATTCCCAAGGTCTTGTAGCTGGCTAAGGACAGAGCCGGGGCTGGGGCCCTGCACTTCCAGGGCTCTGTCCTGGGGCTGCACCCTGAGGCTTTATCACAGGCAGTTTGGGCAGCAGGTTATCTGTGCTTCAGGGACAGCGGGTGGAGAGTAGCCACCGTGTGGATCGATAGAAAGGACATAGGGTGAGGGAACCAAAGGCCTTGGGCAAGTGGCTCTGCCCCCTGGAGCCGCTGTTCTGCTGCCTCCTGGGTGTGTCACATGTCGGTCACACAGTCCACATGATGGGTGTGTCATATGTCCATCACACAGTCCACATGATGAGTTTGTCACATGTCGGTCACACAGTCCACATGATGGGTGTGTCACATGTCCATCACACAGTCCACATGATGAGTGTGTCACATGTCTGTCACATAGTCCACATGATGGGTATGTCATGTGTCTGTCACATAGTCCACATGTGTGGTCCCTGGATTGGAAGGTAGCTGCAGTCCTCGCTGGCTGTAGCCTTAAACCTTTTCTGGAGGCTCTTTTCAGTGGAAGAAATTCATGGTGATATGCTAGAATTTTTTTTTTTCTGGCAAAGTGGGCCAGTGGGTGGCTCATCTGTATGCTAAATAAAGGACAATCCTGAAGTTCAGTCTACCTGGTATTCACATTGACATCTTGTCCTCATTTGGCGGATGCAGGGCGCTCTTGTAGCAGGAACTTTGGGCTGACACGTCTTTTTTTTTAATGACTTGTTTTTTCTTTTTAAAAAATTTTAATAGATTTAGGGGGTACAAGTTGAATTCTGTCACATGTATACATTGTATAGTGGTGGAGTCCGGGCTTTTGGTGCACCCATTACCTGAGTAGTGTACATTGTGACCCACAGGTATTCCCCCCGCCCCCTTGTGAGTCTCCAATGTCCATGATACCACTCTGTGTTGGGCTGACAGTCTTGAGACCTGGGTTCTGCTCCAAGAAATATCCCTGCCTCATAGAATGACTTTGGACAAGGTACATACTTTTTTGGGGGGTGTGGAGGGCATGCTTTTTTCCATCTGAAATGAAAATGTGATCTTTTCATTCCTAGCAACTTCAGAGGAACATCCGTTACCCACGGTAAGGGATGTGAATGTTTTAGAAACAGGCATTCTTTACACATACAAGATGAAGTTGTGGGAATCTTTTAATTGTTGATCTTTGGCTGGGCCTGGCTTATCCAATAGCAGATTGTCCTCAACCCACTGACTCAGTGCTATTGCCCCTTTCTTTTGTTGGGCTGCAAAGACGTGATGTGGGAGTTTACAGTTGGTGATGGCCAGTGGGGTTGTTGGTGATGTTTGCTCTTTCACCTGTGACCTCCTAACCCCCCACTTGACATTCCACGTAGGTGCTGAGGAAACCACAATAATGGGCTGCTCGGGCTCTGCTACCTGAGTGAGTGCACCTGGAAAAAGCTGTGGCTTTCCTGAGGTGGGGGTTGCAGAACTCGTTAGCCACACCGAGGGTGCTTGCTGTTGTTATTGCTGTAGCAGCAGCAGCAGCCGGAAACCCAGGGCTGGGTCCCCAAGGCAGGGGCTTTGTAGGCTTGGGGTACAGGAAGCTGCGGTGTGACCTATAAGCTCAGTTTGGCTTTCAGCTGACTAATACTGAGTTCACAGAGCGCTGTTTCCCCCTGCAGTGGCCCACAGCGAATAAAGCCAGAGGTGAGGTGCATAAAATACAGTTTAATAAATGCAACAGAGACAGGGGCTGAGAAGAAAAGCAGAAAACCACCAACACCAAAGGCTCAGGCAAAAGAATCAGTGCCCAGAGATCTCAAACTCCCTGTTCACAGACTGACAGGCAAAAGACAGTAAAAATATTGTTTTTATAGGGAAAAGATAAGGGTCTCATTACTATCCCTCCCTCCAAAAACACTTGCTTGAAAGCAGGGCCAGTGTTTTTTTTGTACTCTCACTACAGTGCCTGGAACTTAGAGAAAGTCAATTCACATATATTAAATTAATTAACAGAAAGAAGTACCTTTCCTCTGTATTTCACTCTGATCTTTGCTAATAGATTGGAGAGAATTGAGATGAAATTTTAGAAACCCCGTTGCCTGCTCAAAGAGTATTAGGGAATCCAAATGTAAATTTGTTTGTAAAGTACTGGAAAAGCAGAAAGTGCTGAAACTTTGTCCCCTTCCCTCGTCATGCAAACTGTCTAGTGTGGCTGTGGAAGTGAATACAGAGGGTAGGACAGGGGTGGGCAGAGGTGGATGCCGGTGTGGGGCAAATCTTGGCTTGGTTGAGCAGAGGCTTCCCTGCTTAGGTAAAAGGACACCTGCCCTCCTTCCCCCAGGACCTGTTTTCCTCAAAGAGAACAGAGCTTGGAGCCTGTTGGTTCCCACTGTCTACTTCTGAAGGTAAAGAAAGTCAAAAGGAATGAAATACCATTTTCAAAGTGTATCCGTTGTAGTAAAAAAAAGAGTCCTATATCCCTTTATATCCCTCTATTCTTTATAAAGCAACATCTAAATAGGTTAGGACCAGAAATCCCCATCTCCGGGACTTTTGTCTTTCTACCAGGCTGGCAGACGAGCTGGGTTTGTTGCCTTCAAAGACAAACTGGTTTAGCCATTCAAACAAGGCTGTGACAGGTCAGCTGGAATCAGAAGTGGGAAGCCCAGGAGAAAGCACATTTGTACACTTTTGGCTTCTTCCACGGAATGTGGCCTCCTCATGCCAGTCAGCCTGCAAGTGAAGAAAGTTGTTAGAGAATCATAGATTGTCAGCGCCAGATGGGATCGTGGGGGTCATGTACTCTGGGGGTGGCCAGCACTTGCTATGCTGGACCATTGCAGACATCACTAATCTATCGTGGTGTGTTTCCCTTCCACATACAGCGACAGCTCAGCTAGTTCAGCAATCAGCGTTGGCACAAGTCATGAAACCCATTTGCTCTCCTTTAGTTGTGTTTAACTCCTTTGTTGTACAGATGCAAAATCCCAGGCCCACAGAGGTGACACACACGGGCTAAGGAAACACAGTGAGTTAGTGATCACGTCAGGACTAAAACCCAGATTGTCTGACTCCTTGTGTAGTGCTCTTTTTATACAGCCACTGTGTTATTTTACTGTGTCTGTAGGACTGTCGGTAAAATAACATGTGGGCTGGACGCCCATTTGGGAATGACTGGGTATATTTACAGTCCAACACTCTAAGTCTAGGGCTGTCCCTAGAACAGGAGCTGGGGCTGATAAGTATTTGGGGTACTGGAGAAGGAGTAAGGGGGATGAGCTCCATAGGCAGACTTAGGCCCTGTTTGAATTTCATGTACAAGATTACCTGAAAAGCGGAATGCAAGAAACAAGGAAATAATTAATGTCTCAGCCCCAGCCTTGTACGATCTTGAGTAGCTAGTAGTGGGCTATTCACTACTAACGGGGGGTGTAGGTTCATCCCAAAGACAGGCTGGTCCACGCATGGACAGGCTGGTCCTTTGCTAGTGGGAGCTGGCATTCCCTTTATCTGACAAAGATAGGTTCTGCTTCCTCTCGATATTTTTCAGGAGTAGCTTTACTTAAGGTTTTGCAAATAACCCATGGCCTCTTGGCCAAATAAACAGCAGTGAGGGAAGACTAATTTTCCTTATTTAGCTTCAATTTTCTATCCGGGGTGGAGGTGGGGTTATTGGCTGGTATATTAGAAAAATAGTACATTATACTACCTAATGGGTTTTAAGTCTGGCTTAAAATGAAAGGATAACAGGAGATGGGATATCTGAGATAGCCCACCTTATTAATTCTAAATATGTCTCTATTTTCCCTTCCCTATGATTGTTGGTTTCTTACCATTCCTAAATCTCTCTTTCCCATGTGCAGCATAGTTTGGGTGGGAATGGGAATAAGAAGCAGCTAATTCTTACCTTAAGAGAAAAATAGCTTGGCAGTCAGGAGGAAATTGACAGCAACACTCTTGGCAAACAGCATTCGTAGCCCCAGCACTGTGAGGGACACCATGTTCACCTTCTCGGTACGAACTATGGCTGAACAAGAGTGAAGAGAATGGCTTCAGGGAGAGATGCAATTCTCTTCACCAAACTGGGCTTACAGGGAAAGCAGTCCGCCCCAGATCTCCATGGTTCTCCTTGGCCTGCAAGCCCAGCGTGGTGTCAGGCAGCCCTCGGGCTGGGGCTCACACCCAGCCAGGCCCGCTTTGGAAGCCTGTGCTTGTGGCCAGGCAAGCTCTGCTGAGGGGAGTCAGAGGCTCAAGAGACCCACTGGGCTCAGTGTGGTTTTTGTTTTCTTTTAAAATCGGATGCTTTTTGACCCCAGTTGACAATTCCAGAGTTTGCTTTAACCCTCAATTCTGAAGTTGTCCCTGTGATTTGAACTAACCTTTGGGTTTGTGGCAGCTCTCTGTAGTTTGAATCGTTAGAGGCTTCTCTGGTTCCGTTGGGTTTATATTATCTGGAACAAACGTCAGTGGTCAGGGTTACATTGACAACCAAGGGGCTCAAAGGACTGTAGGGGGTTAAAACTGGAGGAGACTTGAAGTAAGTAAACTGAAGACCAGGGGTGTGACCTGGTTAAGGTCCTACAACTATTGACACAACCAACATGCTTCCCGTTCTGGGCTTTTTTCATTGCACCATGAGGCCAACATCCAGGCATGCCTGTAATATGTAGAAAGAACTAGGGTTCTTAACCCCATGATAGGCTGGGCTGCCCATTGGTTTGGAATTTAGCACTAGATTAGACTACACATGGACTTTCAATCCCAGACTCTAGTAGTAGGACTGTCACTCATGTGAAGGAGGCAGTGGCTGGTGAGGAGGAGGGATGGGAATGAAACGAGATTGGCCTTATCTTAGATTCTAGCTTTTTCTTCCTAGTCAGTGGCAGGCTAGGTCTTGTTTCCAGCATGATGCCATATTGAGAAGCATCTGTCCAGAGTTTACATCTCTAACTTGCCTTTCCCCCAATTTTTGTTCCCCATAATCGGCACCCCTTAAAGCCAGATGTGACTTACCTGAAGAATTCGTCTTCACTTCAAAGTCTGTGGAGTGCACTATTTCATCATTATGCTGAACTGAACATGTCACTGAATTTGAATCTTCATACCGACCAAGCTTGACAGCACTGTACTTCCCACTGGGAGTGATGACAATAGCAGGGTCAAATTCTTTTATCTTCTTGGATGATTGGAGATTTATATTCACATTCTTAGGGTAGAAGTCCTTCACCAGACAAGCGACATTTGTTCCATTTTTCATGACAAAAACAGATGGTTTGGTAGTAGGCTGACTTCCTATAAATATAATAAACTTATTTTGTAAGATGATTATCCACAACTTTGTGGGAGTTAAACAGTCGTGATTAACGCCAATTACCCTAGGGTCAAACACTATGCTCCAGACCTCCATGCATCCTGTTAGTGACCTGGGCTTGTTAGCACCTCCGTGAAAGGATGGCCACGGGGAGCAGACATGAAACACAGTCAGTTTGACTTCTAGGTAGGAGCTGCTAAGAGAGGGCTGGAAGCAGAGATGGAAAATAACAACTACAAAGAAATTTCTGGATCATCTGGGTTTCAATTATCTATGTTTTATTAATCAATCCTCTGGACAATTGAGGTCAGCCTGAATATCTGTCTACATTAGTTGGTTTATTTTAAATGCATGAGCCCTTGGAGGGAGATCAGGGCAGGTGCTCATGCTTTGCATTATGCCAGTTAAAGAATCAGGAGTCTGAGAAGGATGGTATAACTGGTTCAAATGCTCTGAGGATGACGGTGTTAGGGTTACTGCAGGGTGTCATCCCCATTCTATGGACTGGAAGGGACCTGCCAAAGTTAAGTGGAATGTCTCTGCCTTTAGGTAAATAAATTGCCTTGTTGTTTTGTAAGGGACTGACTACAGTAGAGTTTCCTTTGAGTCTTTAATCAGGGAACAACAGCTATCATTCCCAGAATGTCCTTATAGACATAAAACTTGTATAAGCCCATTTCTTCTTGTTTTATTCTAAGAGGAGCTATGGAATGTTGGTCTCAGTAATTAGATCCCCTCCTGGCCTTCTCTTCTTTCATACCTCACCTTGGACTGTCATCTACCTGCCACTCTGTACATGCATCCTTTTCATTCCTTAAAACCAAAGTCTTGAAGCTTGAGAGAGGTAATAATGATTTGTTCACACTCTGCCTTATTGAAGTGTTTGAATTTTATGATTAAGTTTTGTGTCCATGGAGACTTGGATTCTTAGACTCTTTTAAAATAACTGCTAAAGAAAGAGCCCTGCCAATACCTGAAATCAAGAAAGACAATCAATCTGTGAATGGCCATCTGGATATAGTTCCAACCCTAGACTTAATTACTGATTTTCTGTATTAATTGCTCCCATAAATACAGCTATTACTATTTAAAACTTAGGTGAGTTTGGCTTCTTGTCATCAAATGAAAAATATGTTGCCTTCCAGTGTATATTTTATCTGTTATGGTCTACAATCAAGGTATTAGGTATTGCTGAACGAAAAGTTGGTAATGCATGTGTAAATGGAAAATAAATAATTTTTCTAATGCTTTACTCTGAATCTAGATTTAGGCTTCAGCTATGAAGCTCATGGTAGTAGAGCTACAACCAAATCAACTGGTTGAGAGGGAGTGATTCCTAGCCAGGAGGTTCCTGCTGATTACCTCTTTGTAAGTGGACCATGGCTGATCAGGGCTTTCCTAGGGAATCAACCATTCAGAGAAGCACCCTCAGCACTACCAACATAATCTCCTTCTTGGGAGAAGCGCCTGCTGGGAAGCTCAGCTGAAAGATTAATTCTGTTCTAGTTACTCAGGGCAGGAAACTTGTTCCTAAGAATCTGCTTTCTTATAATTTTGCTTTAGCTCTAGATAAAAAGGAGGATCTGGAATTTTTCAAAGGGCTTTCCTGGAACCTGCTTTCAACCTGCATGAGAAAACCATCATTATTTTGTTTCCTTGCATAGCCAAAGCCACTGATAACAGAAACTGATTGAGGGCTGGAAACCACATGTGTTACTCATTCACCTCCCTTCAGAACTGCAACGTTTCTTGCTCATTATCCTGACTTTGGTTTGAGATATACTCTGGTTGACTTTTAAGGGAGTTATGAGTTAGAAAGGAAACTTTTCCATTAAAAAAACCAAAAACTTCCCCTTGTTTATTTAAGCATATGACTTAATGCTGGTCTTATTTTGTTGGGCAATTAAAGCTTGCTGGGATTTTAAAATCTAAATTCATCAGGCAGTTGTCAATGATCACTTTGGGTTGAGGAAATGAGATTTGAATAATTTGAACAATGGTGAGGAATTTGAACGTTAAAGAAGGTCAAGTACTTACAATACTGAGGTCTGAATCTATTAGGCAGCATTTCAGATAGAGCATAATGCCTTCATTTGGTAAAACATTTTTCCCAGACCATCTTTCTAGGTTGATGTCTATATGTTCAAAATAATTGTTTGGTAGAAAAGTGTTTTATTTAATCAATGTTTTTTGGATCTTGGGAACCTAAGAAAAAGCTGTTTGAATTAAAACTTTTTTAAATGAATGGAATACACTCAATATCGTTGCCACATGTATCTTACTCTATTATATATTTGGGTTAAACCACAATTGAAGTTGTATAAAATTGTAGTTTAAAATTTAAATTAAAAACTTAATCACTTATCTTTTTTTTTTTTTTTTTTGAGACAGAGTCTGACTTTGTTGCCCAGGCTAGAGTGAGTGCTGTGGCGTCAGCCTAGCTCACAGCAACCTCAAACTCCTGGGCTCAAGCGATCCTGCTGCCTCAGCCTCCCGAGTAGCTGGGACTACAGGCATGTGCCACCATGCCCGGCTAATTTTTTGTATATATATTAGTTGGCCAATTAATTTCTTTCTATTTATAGTAGAGACGGGGTCTCGCTCTTGCTCAGGCTGGTTTCGAACTCCTGACCTGGAGCAATCCGCCTGTCTCGGCCTCTCAGAGTGCTAGGATTACAGGCTTGAGCCACCTCGCCCGGCCAATCACTTATCTTTTGAGAATTGCCAGTCTTTCTTTTTGGTTCACAAATGTAATTATATTTCAACATGTGTTTCAAGTACTATTTGTTTGGATGATCATTTTATTTTCAGGCTTTCTCTTTTTACGAGTACCAATAAAATGCTAAGTTTAAATGCTGGTAGACAATACAAAAAGAAGTACATACCCTTCCTGAATAGTCTTTCTTAATTTATAACTTAGAAATCATCTATGTTTTAGATTCACTTAGAGAGTCCAACTGATCCCCTAAGAACTGGAACATCTACAATAGATGTTACTCAGAATTTCAAGACTGTCTGCCAATATGGGATTTAATTAAACTCTGAGTTTGCTCTACCTGATTACTCTGACCAGGCTAACCACCTCTCTCTAGAATCTTCCAAGCTGCAGGATATTGGTTTTCAGTTTGCAATGAGGCATGCACATGAGTGAACCAAAGGGATATGCAAGGACGAACCAGACCCCTGAGGAATTGGGGCCAAAGTGTCCCTGCCACTGTCTCCCCCCACACCTGAATGCTCCGACTCCTAGTGTAATTCTTCTAGATGTCTTTGTGTTTTCTGGGCCACTCTGAAGAGTTCAGAAATAAGTGGGAACTATGGTCTTATTATACAGTATATATATATATATGCATATATATATACATATATATTATTTTATTTTATTTTATTTTATTTTTTGAGACAGAGTCTCACTTTGTTGCCTAGACTAGAGTGAGTGTTGTGGCGTCAGCCTAGCTCACAGCAACCTCAAACTCCTGGGCTCAAGCAATCCTGCTGCCTCAGCCTCCTGAATAGCTGGGACTACAGGCATGTGCCACCATGCCCGGCTAATTTTTTCTATATAAGTTGGCCAATTAATTTCTTTCTATTTATAGTAGAGACGGAGTTTTGCTCTTGCTTAGGCTGCTTTCGAACTCCTGACCTCGAACAATCCGCCGGTCTCGGCCTCCCAGAGTGCTAGGATTACAGGCATGAGCCACTGCACCCAGCCAACAGTATATATTATTAAAATTAAAAGTCGTCACAGAACTACTGCAATGACTCAGTCTAACATCTTTCACTCTGGCCCCCTTCCTATCTGGCCTACTCAATCTCCTAGTTACAATTTCAATTACTAGTTATAATTTGTAATGCAAATTGGATGGCAGCCCCAGTCCCAGGACTCAAATTATTCCTAGAAATATAGGAAAAACATCAACTCACGGGGTTCCACGAAGAGTTTGGTGCCAGTTCCAAAAAACATCTGTCGCGTTTCCCAGGAGCACATTGTGACACTGCCGTGCAGGGAACCAGCCCAAGGCTGGCCCTGGCTCCCTAGCTGCATGTCTCAGCCTGGAGAAGCCATGGCTCAGAGAACTACAAAGCTGGCCTTGATGAGACCAGGGGGCTGAGGGCACAGAGTCCCAGTTCCCTTTGAAGCTATTAATAGTTGAATTGCTGGACAGAGATGTGAGCATGAGATCCCCGTCTAAGCTGGGATGGGGCTGAGACAAAGCAAGAAAAGAGGGTGACAGCTGATGGATAGCTGCCTTCCAGACGGAAAATTTATCTCCCAGTTTATTGGGAGGGCCTTCCAAGAAGACCACAATAGCTTGGGGGTAGGAATGCCGCACTGAATATTGACACTTCTTACAATGAATGTTAGGTTGAGGAGAGGAGGGTTTAGAAACAGGTCGTTCTCTTACTCTGGTTCCCTTCTCTTGGGTCATCAACACTACTTTTTGATTAGAAACTTAATTCCCCCCATCACTCAGACTGAGTCTCACAATAATAACGAATCTGTTTTCTAATTCCCTGAGCCTAGTGAAAGGCTTTCTAAGGACCTGGGGGCTGAATAGGAAATTGGTTGCCGTCAGGGGAGCCCATTGGTGCTGTGTGTCATGGGTGTGGGTCTGAGAAGCCAGTGCTTGTTTTGGATTGCTTATTTTTCTTTTATAATTTCTCCTGACTCTAGATCCAGATACAAGTCTCAGGAGTATATAGTAATCATGTGAAATAGATCTTAAAGACCATATGAATGACCTTGTCTCATCACCAAAAGCCAAGAGCCTAGGGCTAGAGCCAGGCAAAAGAGAATGACAGGTGTGTGGAGCCATTATTCACTGTCAAAACACTAAAGACTGGGGGCTTGATTAGAAATTCTCACTTCCCCTGCCTGCGCTTCACATCATCGTATTACACTCCATCACTGCAGGAGAAGAAAACCAGAGAAGCAAATGGAGAGTCTCTGGGGAGCGTGGTCAGCGTCCTGGCAGAGGGG